GGGTATAGTAAGTCTATAGAAATTAAGTAAAATATAGTATATCAAAGGAACACTTCTAGTTAAAAATATGAGATGACCTATAGGACCAATGTTGGTTTCAGTCTTTAGAAAAAGCTTACCGATATATGTTCCGGTCACTGACTTTAGGTCACATGTGTGTAGTTTCTTGTTTCTCATGTATTGCTTTAGTTCTACATTAATGGTAATCTAACAACCAAGCTTTATGATAAACGTGATGACTTTAACTTTTCAATCGTCAACTTCCCTTACTTATTCAGCAATATACCTTCATCACCTGCATACGGGGTTTATATCTCTCAGTTGATTCGATACGCAAGAGCATCCTCTATGTATGAACAATTTTTAAAAGGAGGTAAGTTATTGACAAACAAATTGCTGAAACAAGAATATCAGCAGTCTTGTTTAAAGTCATCATTTTGTAAGTTCTATGGTCGATACAATGACCTTGTCAGCAAATACAATTTATGATTAAGTAAAATGCTGACTGACGTTTTTCATACTTATTGTTAGGCCATTATTTACACACTGAATTGTGTATGGATTTTTCTATTGTTTCCCAGTCGTGACAAGGAGCACACAGCGGGTGTGACTGGTCTGCAGGGGATGCTCACTCCTCCATGGCACCTGATCCCACCTCTGATGTTTTGGAGGTCCGTATTTGCTCTGCTCCTATTTTGTATTTTTTGATGGGCTTTTGAGCTTGAATACTGATTGTTATCTCGATATATTTCATTCTACTCAACTGTGTGTTCATGTGATCCTACCTCAGTATTTACAGAATGATACATCCTTTGTTTGAGGGTCATTCTTGATGTCTGACTGAGTAATGGCAATGGGACATAAAACCTTAACTGACCTTACCACATTCTTTTCTAATCTGAAAACCCTCATGCATTTTTAGCATAACATATCGCCAATGCACACATTTTTCCCGAGGAACGAACTGCATCTACTCTGCATAGAACAGTATCTCTCCCACTGGCACAACAGTACTATTACACGTCATTATGTTCTTGAAAGGCAAACACAGCAATTATTGCTCGGCATGATTTTTTTTCATGACACCTGCAGTATCGAGTAACACAAAGTGAATGATTCATGTCCTCGAACAAAGTGTGCTTACAATGAGGTTTAGTTCCGGTTGATTGCGTTTAGTTAAAGAGAATTTATGATCTGCATTTCCATAGATGTCTTTTATATCAACACCAAACATGCATTTAAGGAAGAAAATATATTAAGTAAAATGCAAAAGCCTGTATTAAAAAATCAAAGGACAAGTGCACTTAAGCAATGCTTAATGGGCCCTTTTTCAGTGCCATATTACTTTAGAATATATTACCAAATTGTTCTCTTTTGGTAATAGTTAAATACAAGTGGACATTTCTAATTAAAATCACATTAAAACATCACCTAAATCAGCATGGATTTGAAACAAATGAAGTTTTTTAAATGCCTATAGATACCCCAAATCCGGAAAAGTCATACCGAACCTATTTTGAGTTTCGTTTATTTATATCAAGGGGAGGAGACATTTAAATCAGACACTTGAACAATCTGATGGTGGATCATTGACAGGCGCGTTTGCCAAATGATACTTCTTGTACTATGTTACCCGAGAAAAAAATAGAATGAAGTTGTATAGATACCTGTATCCATAGTGAACAAACTAAGAAATTTGCATGCTTGCATTTGAAATAATACAATAAGTATTAACATTAGTTCCTTTAAATTTTAAAATGAAAAAAAGTGTATTTAGGTGGCTTTCAATACCAGTACCATTGTCTTGCATGAATGTTAAAAATGTTTGACACTTTTATTTATGATGACATTTTAACGACACTAAACTCTCCTAACCATCCCGTGTTCCTAAAACCAAATACATACAAACTTCTCTATGCGGCTTGACTTCGATATAATGATACAAAACGTGGTTATGTTTTATAGTGAGCATCTTTGAGGAATGTTTACCTGGGTAGAACTCACGTGACTACCAGTATTTTAAATAATTTATTCCACGGGTGGGCTCTTGCTTGTTATAGGAAAAACATTGAACTTTTCATACATTTTTAATATTTTAAGTACAAGCCTAATCATGTACAAATTTCCTACTTTCACACAAGTTTTATAAATGTATAATGCATTTTTTGTCAATCGCACAAGTTTGTACAATGTTAGGCTGACAATAAACAAAAGCTTTGAAATGATTGACCGTCCTTGATTTACTATAGAAAATCACAAATGTCGGCTGACCCCTACCACATTGTATGGCTTTGCTCTTAGTATATTCATGAATTTCAGCGATAAAATTTGTTGAATCTTATGGTTTAGATATCAATTAATGATCTGAGATGGAAAATTATGCTTAATTTAATTCTTCATTTTTTCATATTTTACCGGGGCCCATAAGTGCACTCGTTCTTTAGTGTTTATACAGGTAAAAAGTTTGAAAAAATAAAAATGTGCCAACAAATGGTTTCGAACCAGGACACTAAAAATGTTCATGGTGAGAGTCTGTGCTCTATCATTCTGGGCTATGCTGACTATGAGGACATTTGTAATAAATATAAACCAGTATGATAGAAATAGGTTTTCACGTTTTTTGTAGGTTTTTTTTCTATGAATTTCGACCCTAGGCACCTCTAAAAAAAACCTTGTTTTAAATAATTGCTTACTAGATCAAAATCTATCAAAATTTCATAATTTAATTTAGGGGCAGGCAAAGGGTGATTATATTGCATCTATCGGGTATAATTTTCTTATCAGAAAATTGTAGAGATATGCAAGGTTAATTAATGACAACATTTATTTTTCCTTTTTGCCTAATACTTTTATGATTTTCAGTAATAAATTGATTATTGAAAAAAGCCTTTAATATGAATGCTGATTTTATCTCCATCTGTTAATTTTCAGCACCTTTTCTCGTGATTATAGTAGATAGAGAACAGATTATGATTTCTAACATTTGCTTTTACAGATCATTTTCTTGAGATAGGTTGAACCAACAGTCAAATACAGACACTTTTAAGAAAAGTAAAAATCTGGCTCAGGTAAAAAAAAAAAAAAATCATTTACAGTTTTAACAATTAGTAATTTTACCTTAATTAACTGGAAAAATCTTATTTGACGAAATACAGGTCAAGAATGAAGAGTTTAAAGCCTAGTAGGGATTTTGGTCAATCATTACAGGTAATCTGCAGTCCCTTTCAAGAATTTTACACTCATAGAGACGCCACCACTTGCCAGTGGAAAGCTGCAAATTCTGTCCTATACTCTGCACTCATGGCCATTGAGCAGTGAGGGGTCTTTTTCATGCCAACACCTACTGTGACATGGGACCTTGGTTTATAATGTCTCATCCGAAGGACTGGTCTCCATGTCCCACAGTGGGATTCAAACCTGCGACATAAGGATCAACTCCTTACTTCGCGACTCTAGAGCAGATGTTCTAACCATGGCGCCACGCTTGTGACTAGCTCAGTTTTAAAGAAATCATTCAAGATATTTTTTATCAAACTTAATATGCTGATACACATATAATTAGTAAGACCTATTCAACTATTTCAAAAACTTTTGACCTTTCCTGTGACCTTGACCTCACTTTCCTTCAATTTGCATTTTGCATGGTTTTAAAACCATTTAAAATATTGATATCTAAGGCTATGCATCTATACATAATTTGGTGAGAATTTATCATCTATATCCATTTTTTTTAGATTTCAGTTTCAATTTTAAAGAAACTTTTCAAGATATTCTCATCAAACTTCATACACTGACACAAAATTTCATGTTGCATTACTATACACTCGGCGGGCATACATGTCCTATGGACATATTTCTAGTGTATTGCTATTTCTGTTGTTTGTTTACTTCCGGTCAGTAAGTGCCCCCTAGGGGCAAGCCCCAGTCCTGTTTTCTTTTCCAGGGTTGCAACAGCGCCCCCTAGAAAAACAAGTTGCACCATCCAATAAAATCGTATTTTGTGCTGCTTTATGCCAATGAAATTAAGGCTGGACAGCATATGTATTATATTCTGACCAATGGGGTTGCCGTATTTTCAAATAATTAGAATAGACTTACCACTTCAGCATTCCTTTCATCACTGAAGTGATATACATGGTCAAAAATTGACTAACTTTCATTTTTGTGTCAACTGCAGAGCAGAACGACACTTAGAGATCACTTTACCTGGTGTCTGTCTGTCCGTCTGTCACACCTTATATCTCCATAATTTTGAGAGGCAGGGTTTTGATAATTAGCATTTATATATGTTTTTGAGCTCATGATACTATACTTTGAAACTGTATGAAATTCAGTTACCACACAAACTTATATTTAAATACTATGAAAATACATTGGGATCAGTATTCCACAATGAATCGTGTTGACTGACAAAGTGACAATTAAAGTAAAGACGGTCTGAAATTCCTTTCCTCCGAGGACTGTTGGAAGCACCTACATGTGTATTACTAAAATGATAAATAGTTATTCCTCATAATTTCAATTAAATTATTCATTTAAGGACTGGGGAACCATATTTTCTTTGATTGCCAGATTCTATCCCAGTCTTTTGGATCTTTTTTTTCCTTGCAGGCAAATGCTTGAACCTCCATGCTAATATTAAATTAATAGCTGACCACTCTTAGATTTATTTACCTCTTTAATGACGATACCTAGCAGGTGACATATACATTCCTTGAAACACTCTAGTTCCTATTTGATTTTCACTAATATAAAGATTATTGAAAAAAGACTAAGGTGCTCTATAGTGATCAGTCTATTCATTCATCTGTCTGTCAAATACACATATCCCTTGTTCAGAATACAGGTGACTCTAAATACTTCAAACTTTATATTTTTTAATTAGATACATGTAGCTGCTTTGGAACATCTGAAAGGTCTATTACATTATCACTAGTTTTACTAGTTTTCTTCATGTAAGTTGAATATATTTTAAACTTTCAAATTTTTATTTTTTACAGGTAAGAAAGAAATTCAGGAGTTCTTAAATTGCCCTTGGAGTTCTTGGATTGCATCAAACTGCTAAAAGACCTCAACAAAAACAGCGTCTTGAAAATAAAAATGAAAATATTCAGTGAAAAAAAAATGATGAAAGAGCCACTAAAAATCTTCAAGCCTTTGAGCTGAAATCTTGAAGTCAATCTGTGAACTTTACTAGTAAGTCATAATTACTAAGTCATCATTTGTGTATAATAAATACACTAAACTGTAAACACTTGTTAAAATGTGTATAATTTTTAGATATAATTTGTATCTCATAGACTTCAATAGTTTCATGTAATTTAAGTAATAATGAAAATTTCCTGTTGTCTAGCTAGATTAGAAACTGTTATTGTCCAATTTTGGATATTGTGAAATAATTCATCTAGTACATGTATGCATACATGTGTGTACACTTACGTGTAAATTAATTGTTATAGCAAATTCAATCAATCATTAAGTTGAATGTTGACTAATGTTTTTCATCAAAATTGTTTACACTGAATTGTTTGTGGATTTTTCCATTTGCCCAATCATGTCAAGGAGCACATGGCAGGAAATGCTTTCTCCTCCATTGCACCTGGTGTTTTTAGAGGTCTGTGTTTGCTCTGCTCTAATTATGTATTGTTTCAATGGACTTTAAAGCTTGATCACTGTTGGTAATCTTCATATTTCATATACTATTAGAGTACTTGAAGAAAACTGTAAAGATTTAACATACAGTAAAATGCATGTATATTGCACTTTAAGTACAGTGTATGTGGTTAAGAAATGTTAAATCGTCTCATAGTGCATTGAATTTGTTGAAAATTAGAAAATGTGTTGAAATTTTTTTTGAAATAATGTTAGATTGCAGATTTTTTTAAATCATGCAAGTAAGAAATTGCTAAATATTTTTTAGATTTTCTGGACAGTCTAGATGAGTTCTTACTATATACCTAGCATTGTCATCCTAGTTAAAATTTAAGGAGCAAGGTTCATTCCTAAGCTCTACCTGGACAAACTTGCATGGATTAAAGCACATTAACAGATTTACTTCAGATGCTTGACCTGATTTACATTTTCCTCATGTGTTTTTAGCTCACCTGAGCTGAAAGCTCAAGTGAGCTTTTCTGATCACCCGTTGTCCGTCGTCCGTCCGTCTGTCCGTCCGTCCGTCTGTAAACTTTTCACATTTTCAACTTCTTCTCAAGAACCACTGGGCCAATTTTAACCAAACTTGGTACAAAGTATCCTTGGGGGAAGGGGAGTTTAAATTGTTAAAATAAAGGGCCAAGTCCCCTTACAAGGGGAGATAATCAAGAAAAGACAAAAATAGGGTGGGGTCATTAAAAAATCTTCTTCTCAAGAACCACTGGGCCAGAAAAGCTGAAACTTATTTGGAAGCATCCTGGGATAGAGTAGATTCTAAATTGTTAAAATCATGACCCCCGGGGGTAGGGCGGGGCCACAATAGGGAATCCAAATTTTACATTGAAATATATAGGAAAAATCTTTAAAAATCTTCTTCTCAAGAACCACTGGGCCAGAAAAGCTGAAACTTATGTGGAAGCATCCTGGGGTAGTGTAGATTCTAAATTGTTCAAATCATGACCCCCGGGGTAGGGCGGGGCCACAAAAGGAAATACAGGTTTTACATTGAAATATATAGGAAAAATCTTTAAAAATCTTCTTCTCAAGAACCACTGAGCCAGAAAAGCTGAAACTTATGTGGAAGCATCCTGGGGTAGTGTAGATTCTAAGTTGTTCAAATCATGACCCCCGGGGGTAGGGCGGGGCCACAGTAGGGAATACAAGTTTTACATTGAAATATATAGGAAAAATCTTTAAAAATCTTCTTCTCAAGAACCACTGAGCCAGAAAAGCTGAAACTTATGTGGAAGCATCCTGGGGGTAGTGTAGATTCTAAATTGTTCAAATCATGACCCCCGGGGGTAGGGCGGGGCCACAATAGGGAATCCAAGTTTTACATTAAAATATATAGGAGAAATCTTTAAAAATCTTCTTCTCAAGAATCACTTAGCTAGAAAAACTGAAACTTACGTGGAAGCATCCTGGGGTAGTGTAGATTCTAAATTGTTCAAATCATGACCCCCGGGGGTAGGGCGAGGCCACAATAGGGAATCCAAGTTTTACATTGAAATATATAGGAGAAATCTTTAAAAATCTTCTCATCAAGAATCCATTAGCCAGAAAAGCTGAAACTTATGTGGAAGCATCCAAGGGTAGTGTAGATTCTAAATTGTTCAAATCATGACCCCCGGGGGTAGGGCGAGGCCACAATAGGGAATCCAAGTTTTACATTGAAATATATAGGAAAAATCTTTAAAAATCTTCTTCTCAAGAACCACTGAGCCAGAAAAGCTGAATCTTATGTGGAAGCATCCTCAAGAAGTGTACGCTTTAAATTGTTCAAATCATGACCCCGGGGATGGGGGGGGGGGAGGGGGGGCACAATAGGGAATCCAAGTTTTACATTGAAATATATAGGAGAAATCTTTAAAAATCTTCTTCTCAAGAATCACTTAGCCAGAAAAACTGAAACTTATGTGGAAGCATCCTGGGGTAGTGTAGATTCTAAATTGTTCAAATCATGACCCCCGGGGGTAGGGCGAGGCCACAATAGGGAATCCAAGTTTTACATTGAAATATATAGGAGAAATCTTTAAAAATCTTCTTATCAAGAATCCATTAGCCAGAAAAGCTGAAACTTATGTGGAAGCATCCAAGGGTAGTGTAGATTCTAAATTGTTCAAATCATGACCCCCGGGGGTAGGGCGAGGCCACAATAGGGAATCCAAGTTTTACATTGAAATATATAGGAAAAATCTTGAAAAATCTTCTTTTCAAGAACCACTGAGCCAGAAAAGCTGAATCTTATGTGGAAGCATCCTCAAGAAGTGTACACTTTAAATTGTTCAAATCATGACCCCGGGGATGGGGGGGGGGGCACAATAGGGAATCCAAGTTTTACATTGAAATATATAGGAAAAATCTTTAAAAATCTTCTCAAGAACCACTGGACCAGAAAAACTGAAACTTATGTGGAAGCATCCTGGGGTAGTGTAGATTCTAAATTGTTCAAATCATGGCCCCTGGGGGTAGGGCGGGACTACAATAGGTATTACAAGGGGGAAGTCTGGTAATGAACAGCATGGCCAAAGTTACTCAGGTGAGCGATGTGGCCCATGGGCCTCTTGTTTTGTTTTTGTTTGTTTGTTGTTTAACATCCCTCTCAAGAATTTTTCATCCATATGGAGATGCCACTACTTGCTGGTGGAGAACTGCAAAATTTGACCTATACTTTGCACTCAGGGCCTTGAGCAGTAAGGGATCTTTTTTGTGCCCACATCAACTGCTAGGCGGGACCTCGGTTTATATGGTCTAATCTGAAGGACTGGTCCCCACATCCCCAGTGGATTTGAACCTGAGACTTAAGGATTAAATCCTTACTTGCGACTCTAGATTACAAACTCTATCCTTTGCGCCACATGGGGGACTCCACAAGATTAAGTGTTTTGAGCAGTCCTATTCTCATGTAATTATAAACTCTATGTTGAACAAACCTGCAAAGATGATGTATGTACATGTGAATGTTTCAGGGTACCAATCCTTGATTTGACTTAGATTTTCTGGATTAATGACCAGTTTTTTAGAGAAGGTTCATTCAAAGTAACAATATACTCTTTGGTGATCAGTAAACATAGATGATGTATCCTGCTTCTGATGCTGGATGTAACATACATTTTCAGGGTTATTGAGCAGTTAAATCTAACCCAGACCAACTTGCATAGATTTTGGATCCAGGTGATATACATTACCAAAGTGTTTGTTGAGTGAGACTTTGCCTTACCAGTAGATAACATTTATAGAAGTGAGCTTTGTATTCTTTGATTAGGTATGTTTTTTCTTTGCTCAGGATATATATACCATCAGTGCCAACTACCATACATTTCATATAATAGATGTAGCTGTTGTTCAACTGAATATGATAAAACTGTGGATGAAAATAATTTGATTTTTGTACCTTTGAATGTATTGAATTAATTTGTAAAAGCTGTAATGATACAATGTTTGATATTTTATAAAAGTTTTTAGCATATGCAATCAATAAATGTATCAACATTTTTATTTTATTATACTTTTTACCCTGCAAACTTCTTAAAAACAGAATTGTAATGATCCATTTAACTGATACTAGGCTAGTGTCACATTGTACTGGTATATCATGTATACTGAACTGTAAATAAGAAGCATCTAAATAGGTAAAATCACAGCATGAATCATTGGATTATGTAAGAAGTGCACTATCTTGTGCTTTGGTATGGTATTAATAATAAATGTTAAACTATCATTTTTTTTTTCAAATTAACAAAGGATATGCTTGAGTGACTGTATTTTGACTAGCAGTAAAAATAAAATGATTTTTAAGCATTTGAATTATTTTGATTCATGGTCTCTGCAAGTTTAATGATAGCAAATATGTATATTGAACATGGCATCCACATATTGCTATACTGGATGGGGCATGACTTTTACTGAATCTTAATCACAACCTTGAAATTTTATGTAGTACATGTACTCTTGGTTTCAACTGGTCAAATGTATTCTTAAATCAGAAAGAATTTAAACAAATATAGGCATAGGTCAGAACTTCATCAATTAGTTGGAAAAGCGAATGCACTCGGTGACTATATGGTTTAAAAGAAGCTGGGTATAAATAGCAGGAAAAACTACTTGATGTCCACTGTGAACTTTCTGTCCTCAACAAAACAATATGGAGTATACTATACTTGGTCTAAAGAATAATCTGTGTCTGCATTCACTTTTAGGTTAAACTGTTTTGGGCGTTGAGAGTTTGTTTGTTGTTTAACGTCCCTCTGGAGAATTTTTCACTCATATAGAGATGCCAACACTTGCCGATGGAGAGCTGCAAATGACCTATGCTCGGCACTCAGGGCCAATGGGCAGTGAGGGATCTTTTTCATGCCAGCATCTACTGCGACACTGGACCTCTGTACGAAGGACCGGTCTCTACGTCCCACAGTGGGATTCAAACATGTGACAAAAGGATCAACTAACTCCATGACTCTAGAGCATAGGCTCTTTCCACTGCACCACGTGGGCGACAGCATTGAGAGTTAAATGTGATATCAGAACAAGCTACTCTAGGCTT